AAGGCCAGACCACTCTGTGTGAACTGCGTAACATAATATTAGAACAGGAATCTGATTAAAAAAAACAGGCTTATGATTGAGAGAGGAAAAGAGAAAGCGACAACTAAGTTTCCTGCTCATGGCAAAAGTTTCAACGGTGGTATAATTTCATTCGGGCAGAGAGGATGACATTTATAAACAGCGATCAAATTAGAGCTAGCACATGACTACCCTGATATTCATTATCCAACTCAATGCTAGTCGCAATAACGTTAACATCGCCAATCCCGTCAGATGAGCCTGATAGGAAACGATCAAGTTCTTGGGCCCACTTTTACTGCTAAACTTGTGAAGGCTTGTTCTGAGACTTAACAGTGAAAACTGAAGGGCTTATTTGCCAAACAAGCACGCGGTGAACTGCCCTCACACCGCATGCAGCGGCACAATATTTTCGAAAGAGACACATGTGCTTCTAATTGATGTGTCTGTCAGTAGAAGTAGATGAAACAGGTCACATGTTTGCATTTGTATTAACCACTGCAGATGGTTGAGTGTAACTAGAAATATTTGTTGCTCACAAACGACGCAAGGGTCATGCGAAGTTAACGGCCTTCAAGTGTCGAATGGTAAAAAAATGTTCAGTAACTGGACGCTTTCAGCGACTGCACTTGTATAAGGCTCACTCGCAAACGATCACATGTGTGCGACAAACACGAAACCAACATTTCGGTCATATATTTAAATAACTGATTGCAGTTCTGGAGGTTTAAAAATTCTCTTTAGAACTTTAAGGAAAATAAACAAAATATATACTGTTAGAGTGTCGTGCTAATACTACTCTGACCCGCGTTCACACCTACCCTCTCACCCCCTTGATTAATATTCATCCCTACCTTCTCACACTCGTTGATTAACATTCACCCCTACCTTCTTACACTCGTTGATTAACGTTTACCCTGCCTCCTAACGAACGCTTGCTTATTGTCTATATTATTCTAACCACTTTCATCCCTTTTTAGTTCTTGTGCGGCAATCATAAAATGAGTAAAGCCCTATTCTAGGGCACTCGATTCTTCATCCTCCTCGACTGTTTGGCTAGTGCGTACCGAATAACACGACTATATTCCAATAACGACACAGAGTTCAGAAAGGTCAAAGTGGTGGCACTTATATTCTTCCTGATGACGAATGGCTCAATTAAGTATTAAATAGGGTGACACGAAAAAAGTAGTTGTCACGGTCGACTCATCAGAGAACTTACCCGAGACCATAAAAACTTTCAGCCCAAGTAAATCGATATGTGCCTTTTATCATGCACTTGACTTTTAAATGCGCCCATTATTCTTAGTAAGGCCGCATTGTTATATAAAAAGAATAGGCTACAATAATACACTACCACCTGCCACTTCTGATATTCTTAATGGTCTCAATTCTAATTATTTTGCACAATTTAAAAATATATGAGATGTAGGAGTAAGGAACATAAGACACCAAAGCTCAAAGACTAATTCCTCGAGTTTAGTGATGACGTGAGTGCACTTTAGGATCAAACTCTAAAGTAAAACGGATAGAAAAAACACACCCTTTCAGGCAAATATTTATAACCCACATTTCGGACAACAAATAAGGGGCCAGAATTCAAAGCATATAAAGCGTCCAGTTAAAAATAGATTAATGGTCAAGTAGACTCGAGTTGGAGCTTCAGATGGGCTAGAGAATAGCAAATCTTTAGCTAATGACAGCTAATAAATCAGAGCTAGTTACTCCAGTGTCGCTAAACACTGCAGAATATTTGCAGACGAAAGCTTTTAAATCTATGAGTCTGTTGACCTGGGAATTAATTTATATCGTAAGGTTGAACAACAACAGCAACCGAGAGTACAGAAGTAAGACAGCAGTCCATGGACGTTCACCCCACGGCGAATCTTAAAACGAAGACACTGCTTCCAGTAGGCAAAGGTTTCATATTTTTCTATTTCGACGCAGTGTTCGGCCTGTTAAATGGAAGTTTCCTATGGAATGCCCGGAGACTGATTGAGTAAATCAAGAAGTAGTATCAGCTCATGGAAACCTAAGTTTAAGTACAATGTGAAGAAAAATGGCTCGTTGTAAGCACGGGCGGCCGACAAGGTTGGGTCTTCTAGGCGAATTTATTTGACTCTGCAAGATTTTCGGTACTATCAACAAAATTTCAGGAATGCAATGACGACTAAAAAATACAATGTGTAAACTCTCTGGACTTGGGTCACGCTAATAAATGAAACCTGCTTGAGAAGTTGTTCGAGAATGTAGAACGTGCTTCTGATTTCATAGTTATCACTTGCTGCAAAATCACTGGCCACTGAAATAAATAAGACAACGATCATCAACTTTCTACCGCATTAAGCCTTCCTCCTCTTGGACGGCGAAGAGGTTCCTTAAAATGAATCCTTTGCGTTAGGTTCTGGCTAGTGTCAGAAGAAGAAAACTGCGGAAAAAGGACTACACGACAACTTTAACAACCAACCCATATTTCCAACCATCAGACCGTAGAAGCTATTATTTAATCACCCATCCATAATTGGCGGAGTGCGAATAAACTAACGATAGCCCACTGTATGGTTGTGGCTAACGGCTAGCGGTAGATGTTATTTTGAAAAATTCAAAAGTGTAGATCTTTATCAGTAGTTAGGGAGCTAAATTATGTGACTGAGACCGAACGGGTATTTGTTAGAATTCTTCTTGTCACATTGATCCTGATTCAGCCACGAGCTTCGGCTCCCATCTGCCACAGAAAGTCCTAATACCCGAATATCTGGCTAATCAGCTGCAATAACTGGTATTGGCTTTTGCGTCATATACCAGAAAAAGCGCGCGTCCTCAGTTAGTTTCCTTAAAGGTGTCCCTTCATACTTTGGACTTACTTAGACTTATTAAACTATACTTTACAAATTCCAAGATAATTATCTCGGAATTTGTAAAGTATAGTTTAATAAGTCTAAGTCCGAAATTTAAAGAAATGATGCGTAAAATCGCCCTAGCTGTTCGCGCAGATTAGGCGTGTCTTATTAAATTGCCTCACGAACAGAAAGGGATGCACGGCCCATACGAAAACTCACCGTGTCGCCTCATACATTTTGCCTACCTAAAGAGGAATATATGCGAATGATGATATTTGTGAATTTTATAGTAAATTTTCGTGGGCGTCTACCGCACTTGAACAAAGAATAATCATCCTTATTCTTTGTTCGAAGTAAAGCAAATGATAAAATCTAAATGAAGTGGCATTTGAATCAATGTCAGCAAACAAAAGAAGACAGAGATGTTGTTGACGGGAAATGTCATAAAAACTCACCCAGATAATCTAGACGCACTTCGGTGAAGATGAACAGATCCTAAAGCAGAAGATCTCCCGCTTTTTGGTGGTCCGTCGTCATCGTAAAAGTCTTCAGCCCAAACCCAGTAATAAAGAGTTCCAGTTACATGCGAAATTTTTCGAGTAGGTTCGAGTTCGGCAACACACAGCCTAGACGGCGAAGCTGGCCGCTTAACTGGGTCAGCTGGCCTCGGAGGAATTTTCACCAGAGGAATTATAACCTGTCCAATGTGGTGCCCTTCTGAGTCCGTCACTTTTATGGCTACTGGCTCGTCAACTTTTGATATTT